AGTAGCAACATTACAGTTATGAAGTAGCAACGAAAATAATTTTATGGTTGGGTCACAACATGAGGAACTATATTTAAAGAGCCAGAAGGTTGAGAACCACTTCTCTAGATCCATCCATGTTATTGGGGCAAGATTTCATTCTTTTTTATGGCTGAGCAGGATTCCATTGTATGTGTGTGTATACGTGTGTGTGTGTGTGTGTGTGTGTGTGTGTGTGTGTATGCACTTGTCTGACAATGGACACTTAGGTTGCTTGGTCTAGATCTTTAAACAAAAGTTACTCATTGTATTCAAACCTTGCCTCCTAGCCTTGCTTAGCTTGTTTCTGCTCATTTGTAAAATGAAGTGGTTTGATGGTATGATGATCTTAAGTTCTTTTTTAACAGTAAAATGCTTGTATATGGGCAACAATAGGTAATAAACCTATAACTTCGTTAGTCCCATTAATCTAATATTAACTATTTGCATTTTAACAGACTTTTGTGCCTCATAAGCTGTCTCCGGAGGCAATTACAGAAGAGGGATTTATTGTTTTTATTTTTATTTCCTTTTTTATGTTTTTATCGAGTTTAGAAGAGAGAGAGGAATGGAGAGGGAGAGAGAGAAACATCAATGATGACAGAGAATCATCGACCTGCTGCCTCCTGCACACCCCTCTGACCTGGAATTGAACTGGCGACCTGGGCGCATGGGACCAAGGTCAACAAATGAGCCACACTGGCTGTGCCAGAAGAGGGATTTTAAAAGTAGGCTGCCCAGTGCTATTATTATTGGGATGCGTCTCCCAGGACTCATTTGGTGACTACTTTGAAGGGCAAGTTTGGGTGAATGTTGGGTGAGAAACACTCCATCGCTGATCGCCCTGACCCTCTGCAGGCCCACTTCGGGGCCACATCCACCCTGGGCTGAGGCTGCTTGAAGAATTCTCCCATTGCACGTGTGATGACTCTAAGTCACTGCTTATATCACACAGTTTTTGCCGTTTGTGTTGTGCTCTTGTTCTTGGATTGAAAGTGAGTGCGGTGTGGAATGCTAATTAATTTCCTCTATGTTTAATGAGGTTGCAATCTTGTCTCTTAAAACAACCAAAAAATGTATAGAACTAGCAGTGTGTAGTCCCATAAGGCACCTAGTGCTGTATGTTAAAGACTAGAGGCCTGGTGCATGACATTCGTGCCCTCGGCGGGTGGGGGGCGTCAGCCCTGCCTGTGCCCTTTTGCAGTCCTGGAGCCCTCGGGAGATGTCTGACTGCTGGCTTAGGCCCGCTCCCCGCCATCAGCCGTCAGCTGGTTTCTGGCTGAGCAGCACTCCCCCTGTGGGAGCGCACTGATCACTAGGGAGCAGCTCCTGCATTGCGCGTCTGTTCCCTGGTGGTCAGTGTGCATCATAGCGACCGGTCGTTCCGTCGTTAGGTCTATTTGCATATTACCCTTTTATTATAGGATGGTGCTAATGAAGTGCCAAGTGTGCATTCCTTTTACCCAGCAGCTGTCCTTTTCAGAGTTTGTCTGAAGGAGATGACAGCACATGTGGAAGTGTGCCCTCATCACAGTGTTGTTTAAAGGAATGAGAAATTCTAACCCAACCTGAATGTCAGCAGGGAGTTCAGAGGATTGGTTTGGTCATGATGGTACCTAGCTTCCGTAGGACATCACAGTCACTGAAAATGGGGGCGAGAGGTCTATATTTATTGATTTGGGAAGATTTCCATGGCATATTGAGTGAAAACTATATATCCTATATAATAAAAGCATAGTATGCAAATTGTCCCCTCAGCCGGGAGTTCGACCAGGGGGTGGGGCCGGCCGGGGAAGGGAGGAAGGCCCTGGCCGCGGCAGGCAGCTGGGGAAGGGAAGGAGTACCCGCTGGCAGCCGCTAGGGACCCTACCAGTGCATGCATTTTGTGCACTGGGCCTCTAGTGTGTATATATAACAGTATATATATATGAAATGAACCTCTTCATGTAAAATTCCTGTGCAGTGTACATGCACAGATGTCTCAAGGGATGGTCATCAACATATTAGGGGCTTATCGTTGGGCAGTGGGGTTTAGAGTGACCTTACTTTGGATTTATGCCCACTCTGATTGTCCCTCTCTCCCCTCAGTTAGCCATGCTGTTTTGTTTGTTTTTCCAAGTGGTGCTTTTATAAAGAAAGGAGCTGGCGTTTAGTGAGTACCTACTACAGTCAAACCTCTTTTCTTGAGCATCTCTCATCTCGAACAATTCAGTTCGCATCTAAGTTGTTCCCAGGAAATATGTCTTGGTGTTCGAACCAAACTTTGGTTTTCCACCTGACAACCCTTTCATGCTGATACCTCATCGTGACAAAAGGGGTGTCTCAGGCAACAAATAGAGGAGGGAGTGCTAATGTTGCTAAGGGTGTGAAAGAAACAGTGGCCACAGTTGAAGAGGTAGGAAAACTGGTGTTGATTTGGATAAAGGAAAGCAGTGAGCCAGTGACAGCATTCCGGAGGCAGTGATACTGAACAAGCAAAGACGCTGCATGCTGACCCGAAAGGCACCCTGGAACGAAGGCGGTGGTTTGATACATTTTAGAAAAGAAGTGTGTATTTATAGATTCAACAGTACATTAGACATGTACTATATATAAAAAAGGTTAAAACGGAATCATCTGGGGTCTAAAATGGATTAATTCAATTCACATTATTTCTAATGGGAAGACATGATTCGGTTTTCGAGCAAATTGCTCTGGAGCAGCATTCCAAATGGATTAAGTTCAAGATCTGAGGTTCCACTGGATATTGCAGGCAATTTGTTAAAACTCTTAGTCCTCCTGTGTATTCCCTAAGGTCAATGTGTTATTGTTCCTATTGGACTGACAAAGCATTTTAAGCTCGGCTGGCCAGCAGGGGTGGTAGCCGGGATCCCACCCCAGATCTTTATAAAGCCCTTGCACCTGTTCCTACACTCAGCCTCAGAGCACCACAGAGGTTTGGAGCTGAGGCTGGCTGGGGGTTATCTAGTACTGGCAGAGGAGTATTGTGACTTGCTCAAGGTCTTAAGCCAGCTAGGGAACAAGACTGTGCACGTGGGTTCTGCTTTTGCTGTACTGCACATGGCCTTGACTTAGGAGGCTTCGGTTAGTTTTCAGATTGGTCACTATCTGAACTTGACTTGAGTAATTCTCTCTAACTCTTTGGTCTTTATTTTCCTCATTAGCAAAGAGGATAATACAGTCTGCATCTCAGATTATTGTGAGATTACTCAGATTCACCCAAAAGTGCCTTAAAAACAATAAAGTACAATACGAGTGTGAAATACTGATTTTAGTCTTGTCAATGTAAGAAATGTTCAAACCTGTAGAGGTTTTTATTATTTTATTTGAGCCAAAACTGACGATATATGCCGGGGAGCAAGATCTCAAGTGCTCTGGAGAGTAAGTTTTTTTTATTTTATGCATTTGGAATTAAGGAAGGATTATATGGAGGTGGGAGAAAGCAAGGCGGAGATTGGATTACAGGAACTATTCCAGTTAACAAGATAATGTGCTCTTGAGGGTGGTTACACTTATTTCAAAGGTGTGTTAACCTAGATCAGCGGTTCTCAACCTGTGGGGGGTCACGACCCCTTTGGGGGTCGAACAACACTTTCACAGGGGTCGCCCAAGACCATCGGAAAACACATCTATAATTACATATTGTTTTTGTGATTAATCACTATGCTTTAATTATGTTCAATTTGTAACGAAATTGGGGGTCACCACAACATGAGGAACTGTATTAAAGGGTCGCGGCATTAGGAAGGTTGAGAACCACTGACCTAGATGTACAGAAGCAAGGGACAGGGTTTGCTTGACAAAAAATAAGTCTTTACTAAAGAAATTCTATGCCTGAGTGTGACTCCCCAGGGCTTATATTGCCATCATTTTTATGATGGCTAATGGATCTTTCCATAAATGGCTCAGTGGTCTAATACATGAAGTACAAAGGCATATTTCTGAAGTGAGTTATTTGCACATTTTGAAGTGAACATGCAGCCTACAACCTAGGTTAAGTATAAGAAAGTAGATACTAAAATTTGAGATGCCTACTAAAATAGAGACAGATTTAGAGAGCAGACTAACAGATGGGAGGGGGCGGTGTTTAAAGGGCTGGAGTGGTGGTGGAGGGTTAAGCAAAAAGAAAAAAAACGGGCAGGACATGTCACCCCCAAAATTAAAAAAGAAAGGTGAAGCCAGTCTCCTGGAAGTAAACTGGAGGTGCCTGGTTAGTTTGGCCAGCAGATGGCACACGCAGCAATACTGCGTCAGTGAGATGGCCGTAATTCATTGTAAACTGGTTAGTTTTAAAAGACGGGTTTGTAATTGTTCCAAAAATTGCACCAAGGCAAAGCAGAGCCCGGCCTGATGCGAACGTGTTGTTTCGGCGTTAGCAGTACTGTCCTCACTAGCCGTTCATTGGACAGTAGCGCAACCCCAAGAAAAGGATGGTTGGCGTCGTATTTAGGGTGCGCCGCTAGCAGTGCTGGACAATACCTGGTTGGGTTGTGGTGACTGATTTGCAAGTTCCGGCCTCGCTACGAGTTAGTGCACTTAAGTTGACCGCAACTCCCGAAGCAAACTACCAACTCCTAGTTTTCTGAGGCTTTTGAGAGAGCAAACAGGCCGCTTGGTTTTACCCAGGAGGCCACGCGCCAGCCGCGAGACAATTTGCATATGCGCTCCTCGCTGGGGCGGGGCCAGGGGGCGGGGCTGCGTCTTATTCTCCCATTCTCGGCTCACGGACGTGTAGCCAGGCTGTAGCAGCTTTTTATTTCGTTTTTCGCCTCCGACCGTTTCCTTCTGAAACTAAACGGCTCTATTTGTACAAGAGCAGCCCTCTTGATGACCAGTGTAATCTTGCCAGTCGGCACGCGCTCTCTGGACCCTGGGACAGCGCTTGAGCTAGAAATGTGGGGGCGCCCTGGGAGCTGCTGGGCGAGGGCCCTGGGGCTGAGGCCGGCTGCTCACGGGGTCTCGGTGTTTCCCATTCATTGCAGGTGGCTCTTCTGGGCATGGACATCCTATCCGCGCTAGTCACCCGGCTGCAGGATCGGTTCAAGGCGCAGATTGGCACAGGTGAGCTGTGGGCAAGTGTGGGGCGGGTCCCCAGACTCTCCTCCCTCTGGCCTCCAGTCTCTTCAGTCTCCCCAAATCCTGCAGTTAGCCGTGCCCAACCTCCCTCCAGCGCCCCTGCTCCCCTCCTACCTGTCAGCCATCTCCTTTAGCCCCAGCCTCCTGCTGGGGCTGCACCACTGCCCTCCCTGACCCGACATCCCCATCCCTCCCAGACCCCGCCCTCCATTTGTGTGCTTCCAGCATTTGTGTTCTAGCACGAAGTATTACTGCGAATTCTTTTATTTCTGTGCAAATTAGCTGTCCTAATTTAGCCCTGGCTGGCCCTGCTGGGCCCTGACACCACCCCCCCCCCAGCAGTCCTTCCCTCTAAATCAGTGGTTCTCAACCTTCCTAATGCCGTGGCCCTTTAATATAGTTCCTCATGTTGTGGTGACCCCCAATCATAAAATTATTTTCGTTGCTACTTCATAACTGTAATGTTGCTACTGTTATGAATCGTAATGTAAATATCTGATATGCAGGATGTATTTTCATTGTTACAAATTGAACATAATTAAAGCATAGTGATTAATCACAAAAACAATATGTAATTATATATGTGTTTTCCGATGGTCTTAGGCGACCCCTGTGAAAGGGTCGTTGGACCCCCAAAGGGGTCGCGACCCACAGGTTGAGAACCGCTGCTCTAAGCCGTCCTGCAGACGCCAGCAGTCCTGCGCTTCCAGGTGATGGGACTGCTGTTACCTCTCACTTTGTTACATCCTTACAAGAGTGTATTAAATCATCACTCTCTGACTTTGAAGGGAAAACAGTATTTCAGTAAAATGAAATGAAAATAACCACAGGTTTTATAGGTCTAGAGCAGGGGTGGGCAAACTTTTTGACTCGAGGGCCACAATGGGTTCTTAAACTGGACCGGAGGGCCGGAACAAAAGCATGGATGGAGTATTTGTGTGAACTAATATAAATTCAAAGTAAACATCATTACATAAAAGGGTACGGTCTTTTTTTTTTTTAGTTTTATTCATTTCAAACGGGCCGGATTCGGCCCGCGGGCCGTAGTTTGCCCTGGTCTAGAGATAATTTCATCTCTAAATTCCTGACCTCTGCGAGTTTATGACAACATGAGCACCAAGCAGATCTGTGTGTGAGCATTTCTCACAGACGTCTCTGTGTCAGTTGGTCTACATATACCTGGTATCTGTTACTTTCTTTTAACTTTCTGGTTAGTGTGCTCCTGTGGATAAGGTGGAGCTCTTTTCCCATTCAAATAAAACCCCCTTACTTTAAGAAATTCAACATTTTAATAGGGTTTCACTTTCCTCCTAAATTAACTGAATTGGTCAGGAATATCTTTTGTAAAAGAAAGGTTCATGTTCATAGACTCTTAGAAGAATCTGACCTCTGGGATGCCTGTGCCTTTGGAGCACTGGCCAGTGGCCCGCCCCTGGGTGTCTGGAGGAGAAGGGGAGAACAGATGCGCTCCGAGCAGGGGCGGGATAAGCACGCATGTGTCTTATGTAAAACATAGAGACAAAGGGTAGGCTGAGCCGTAAGTGTCGGTCCCTACCCCCAAGGAAATGTGCTGGAGCCCATCTCTCTTACCTGAATTTCCTTTTGTATTGACTCTTTCCTGCTAAGGTCTCCATTGACATCTTTTTTTAATATTTGACCAGCATGAAGATGTTGGGAGGTGGCTGGAGGAATGTGCGAATAAGAAGACACATATACCCATGCAAAAAGGATTTTGCTGATTCTTAGAGTATTTCCTGGACTTTAACGAGGAGAACAGTGCTGTGGGGATTGGTGGTTTTAGATGAGGGACCTCATTTCCTCTAGGATTTGTCTTCCCAGTTAATGGAAATATCAACAGTTGGTGACACCACCCCACCCCAACAGGTGTTCATTTGATCACTTTGCATTTTGATTTCCAGTGCTGCCAAGTTTAATAGACAGACTGGGAGATGCTAAAGACTCCGTGAGGGAGCAGGACCAGGCTCTGCTGCTAAAGATCATGGATCAAGCTGCTAATCCCCAGGTAGGGCGGTCGGTGGCCGCGGCAGGCATGCCGGTGCTCCCCTAACATCGGTGGGTTACTCCATACAGAAAGACGATTTATTTTAATCTGATGTATTGCAGATGGAAATTTTCATAGCTCCCCCTCATCCCCATATTTAAATAAATAATAAATAGCAAAGGGTGTATTTTGAATAAGTTAGTGGACTTAACATGGGTTTTGAGTGCTTGGTTTAATCCATAAACTTTAGCTCATTTATGTAACCGATTCTGTATTTCTTTGAAAAGAGCAGTTATGATGTCTGGGTGTCAGGAGGCCTGGCTGGTCTCTGTCTGCTAGTGAGCTGGGGCCGCTGGGACTCAGACACAGCCCTGCCTTCCAGGGTCCAGCTGCGCATTGCTGGGGAAGGGGCATGTTATTGGAAAAACCCTTCTGGGAAGGTGAAAACTGGACTGGACTTCAAAGATGAGCAGATGGTGGGCTCTGGGTGGGTGGAGACGGCTGGTCCAGGCAGGAGAGCAGTGTGGGTGTGTGATCTTTGAAGTCACCCAACCTTTTGCGACCTCCCTTTCCTCACCCATGAAATGGGGGCATCTATACCTCCTGTTGGGGTCGTTGGGAGAATGAAATACAATTATATGAAGAAATGTGTTTGGAAGAAATTTAACTTGATATACAAATAGTCACCATTTTTCAGTGTGCTCGGCTGATGACTAAATGGGGGGTAGCGGCTGGGACTGACTGGCCCCTGTGGAGAGTCCCTCTTTTCCTGGCCCCGAGTTAAACAAAAGGCTGCGGGAGTCTCCTCCTCTCTTTTCACCTGTCCTTTGCCATCCACAGTATGTGTGGGACCGGATGCTGGGCGGCTTCAAGCACAAGAACTTCCGGACTCGGGAGGGCATGTGTGTCTGCCTTGTCGCCACACTCAATGCGTAAGTCTGGGTGGGGCCTGAGGATTTTCTTGTCTGAGCTTTTTCATTTTTAACTTTTTATTTTGAAATAACTATTGATTTCAGGAAGTTGTAGAGAAATGTATTGGGAGAGTCGCGCAAACCCCCTCTCCCTCCTTCCCCCAATGTTATCACGTTGCCTGTGCAATGACAACACAGGAAATTAATATTGATACAAACCACAGAGCTTATTCACATTCCTCCAGTCACACACATGTGAGTGCATTTCTGCACAGTTCTGTCACGTGTGTAGTTCCGTGTCAAGGTACAAAGCTGTGCGTCACCCCAGGCTCCCTCACACGGCCCCTTTGTAGTTAGTCCCTAACCTCTGGCAGCCACTAGTCCATTCTCCACCTCTATGGCTTTATTCCAAGAATGTTATGTAGATGGAATCATACACAGTGTAACCCTTTGACATTGGCTTTTTTCATTCCACTTGAGGTTGCATATATGTTGCTTAAACAATAGTTCATTTCTATCAGGATATGAGTAGAATTCCATGCATAGACATATCAGGATTTGTTTAACCATTCAGCTGTTGAAGGACATTTGAATCACTCCCAGTTTTTTGCTGTTACAAATAAAGCTGCTATGAACACTTGTACAAGTTTGTTTCAGCATCAGCTTTCATTTCTCTTGGGTCAGTGCTCAAGAGTGCAATGGCTGTGCACTGGTAAGTTTATTTTTAGTTTTTTTAAAATAACTTTCTCCCCTTTGTATGACTGACGTCCCCAAGGGGAGCACCACTTCCCAGAAGTACTACAATACCAGGTGGATTCGAGGTGTGGATGGAGCGAGCTCCTAGGCCATTTCTTTCCTCCAAAAATCCACTTGATATGCTGTCCTTGTATAGAGGCCGTATCCGGTGTTAAACTGATAAGGCTAAGTGATCATTTTTAGTTTTAAAAGAAACTGCCAAACTATTTTCCCGAGTTGTCTATACCATTTTACATTCCCACCAGCAATGTGTGAATGAATCAATTTCATCACATCCCTGCTAGCATTGAATGTTATCACTATTTTAATTTTAGCCATTTTGATATGTGTGTGGTGATATCTCATGGTGTGAATTTCTATTTCCTTAATGACTGTTGATGTGATTATTTTTCATGTGCTTATTTGTAGGAAAGGCTTTTTTGAAATTGAAATTACAAATCATCTTTTCTGATTGTGTTACAGAAAATTTAAATAAAGAAGAAAATGATGATTACCCATAATTCTAGCACCTTCAGATAATCACTGTTAACTGTGGTGCATTTTATTCCAGTCTCTAAAGTTACATTATTTTTATAAGCAAAATTGGGATGATAACATTTCTATCACCATGTAAATCCCCCCTCCTAAGGTGTTAGCCTTTTTAGTGCCATTAAATTTGGCCATATGTATAGGAAACTTTAAAAAAATGTTTCTAGCCTTTGATTGTAGTAGTTTCACTTCTTTTTTTTTCAAATATGTTAGCCTTTTTAGTGCCATTAAATTTGGCCATATGTATAGGAAACTTTAAAAAAATGTTTCTAGCCTTTGATTGTAGTAGTTTCACTTCTTTTTTTTTTCAAATATATTTCTTTATTGATTTCAGAGAGGAAGGGAGAAGGAGAGAGAGATAGAAACATCAATGATGAGAGAGAATCATTGATTGGCTGCCTCCTACACACCCCCTACTGGGGAACGAGCCCGCAACCCAGGCATGTGCCCTTGTCCGGAATCGAACCTAGGACCCTCAGTCCACAGGCTGATGCTCTATCCACTGAGCCAAGCTGGATAGGGCTGATTGTAGTAGTTTCACTTCTAAGAGTTTATCCTAAGGAAGCAACCAGCTTGCCAGAGAGTTGTGTTCACAAAGGCTATCTGTGCCAGTGCTTACGATGTGGGCCCTTGTGAACACATGCTCGCCACAAGCAGGGTCAGTCGGAATCCTCTGCAGCCACTTCATCAGTCTTTCATTCAGCTCTTACTACCTGAATGCCAGTGGGAGCATCGAGCTGTGCACAGTTTAGTTGAGTGTGCCGAGCTGGGCATAGTAGGAGCCATTACATGAAAAAACAGTAATGTAGAGACAGCCATGTGGGAGGTGAGCTGGCTGGAAGGGCTGGGGCTTGGCTTGGCCCAGCGTGGGGCCAGGTGGAGAGAGCCCGAGTGCCAGGGCGAAGACACGCCCGGGAGAGGCACTCATGGTTTCGAACTCAGTGCCCAGGGGCCGCCACAGCACCTTTATTTTGGAACCAGGTGGGAAAGGGATGGAGAAGATGGGAAGACGAGAGCCCGGTGCGAGGGGTAATAGGCCCTGGGCACGGAGGGGAGGGTGAGTGTGGGCAGAGTAGCTTCTGTTTCTTCTTTCTCACTGATGATAAAACACTCCTTTTGTTTTCAGCTCTGGAGCACATACTTTGACACTAAACAAGATCGTGCCACATATATGTAATTTACTTGGAGATCCAAACAGCCAGGTGAGTGTGTTTCCCTGAGAATGGTCATTGGTTTAGACAGCTAACATGCTTGTTGGTGTTCTATGTATACCTGATGGTGGGTGTGACTATTCATCTTTATAGAACTCTGATTATTGTTTAAGGTCATGAGCCCATTAGCGTTTATAAGATACCATTGGTAAATGTGGCGGCCACTCTGCCCTCTTTCCACATGGGGCTGAGACTTCATGAGCCTGTAAAGTGATGTCCTCCAGACCAGCCTCCAGGATCCCATCACTCTGGCCACCATCTCTGCAGCCGGAAGAGGGTGGGCCTCGGGGAGGATGCCCAACACTGATTGGAGGCGAACACTGTGGGTGGGGATTGACCGGAAGTTGTGAGGGGACTTCTCTAGGCCTGGAAACGTTCATGGTTTGCTTTGGGTAGCCGCCATACTGGTGTGTACACCTGTGGAAACTCCTCGAACCCTTGACAACTGTAGATATTTTATGTAAATTTTACCTAAATTCAAAAACAAAACAAAACACGAAAACGAGGCCCCACTTCCTGAGCTGACGGGAGGGAGAGGAGTGGGTAAGCTGTGGCCAGGTGCCATCTCCCCGGGCTGGGCAGGTCTGGGCCAGCTCGTTCACAGCTGAGTCCTCTGGTCCACGTTCACTCGTGCAGGCTGTTAAGAAAACATTTCAGGGTTGAAAATAGGAAAATAGGAACACAAACTTACCAAGGATACATTTGTATAGTAAACAGGCCTTCATTTTATTTATTTTTATTTTAAATTTTTTTATTAATTGATTAACTTGAGAGAGGGAGGAAAAAGAGAGAGAGAGATTTGTCATTCCACTTATTTCTGCATTCACTGGTTGATTCTTGTATGTGCCCTGACTGGGGGATCAAACCTGCAACCTTGGCATATGGGGATGATGCTCTGACCACCTCAATCCCAGCCAGGGCCGAACAGGCCGTCATGATTGCTCAGGTCCCTGCAGAGAGCCTCGCCGTGCTCTCCTGCTTCCACCAGCTCCTGGGACCCTCCCATTCATTGTCTTATCCTTTCTTCTTGGCCCTGAACCCCAGTTGCACTTTGGCACCCTCTCAGCTGCTGCTCTGCTGCTTTTCTTCCCAGCCTGGCGTCTCAGGCTCACTGCCCCACTGTCTCGTCTCCTCGGCTGGCGCCTACTTCTCTCCATTCATCTCGTACCCAGCCGCATTGAAAATATATAGTTAACGTCCAAATACAATTGTTAGATATTTTGATTTATGGAATCATACTTTATGTTCAGCATTAATTTAAAAATTCTAGATTACCCAATGAGTTATTGGCCCCCTCCCCTTTTTGGTGTTGTCTCCATTTTTGTTTTCTGTGGAAAAGTCCTTTATAGAGGTCACACTTGGAGGGTATCCTTTAGTGGAGCAGGAAAGCCAGCCTGGCTAGTTGAACTTACTTGTCCCTAATGCAGTTGCTTACTTAGCCACAGGTGATGAGTAGTCACGCTGGGCCTGTGGGAGATGAACATTTCTGGTAAAATGAGGTTGGTGCTCCCTGGGCAGCTGTTAGCAATCTGATAGAGTCAGAGTGTTCCAGATGGAGTGCTCAAGGGTCATGTGCTCACACCTGCTTTTGGAGTGTTTGGTCTGCACAGATGCGTGTGCAAGCGCAGACGCACACAAGCCGCATCCCCAGCACCCTCCTGCAGGAAACTTCCCAGCCGCTGATCTGATCCCATCCACTTACCCATGCCTCCTTCACCCGAGGCCATTTTCCACGGATTTTCTTAGAGTGACAGGGCGGGGGAGAGGCACAGAGAGGGAGACACCAATGTGAGAGAGACACATCGATTGGTTGCCTCCCACACGCACTTGGACCAGACACCAGACATTGAGCCCACCACCAAGGTATGTGCCCTTGACCGGAATGAAACTGAAGACCCTTCTGGGCTTGGCCGACGCTCTAACCACTGAGCCACCAGCCAGGGCTTGCCTTTAACTTTTCCTTTAGTCTGGCCCTTGAGGGTCAGGACTGTGACTCGCTCCACTTCCTTGTCCCAGGACTGCCCTCCAGCAGTGTGAGGGTTCAGTAGACACCCCACAGCTGCTTGAATGACTTGCCCTTCTTAGCGTTTGTCTCAGGCCAGAGAGGACAGTGGTATCTGGGCAGTGCTGCCGCTGTGCTCCGTGCCTTCCGCTCTCGCGTGGGGAGTTCGCCTGGCTCTCAGGAGGCCGCTGACACGGTGTGAACTCTGGACACCTCTCCCTTAGAGGGCGTGAGTTCATTTGCATATTGGTCTGGGCAGAGTGACTGGCAGTGGGAAACCCCTCCGTACAGATAGAGGGGTGTTGCTTAGGATGCTTTCGGCTGGAGCCGTGGGAGAAGGCATTGTCCTGCATCATGAGGAGGGGCTCTAGGCTTTGTTAGTGAACAGTCATTTCCCAGAGACTGGCTCAGTCCTTGGGCTTTGTCCTTGGCAGCTGTCCCCAAAGACACAGCCCAGGTCCAGCCCAGCCGCCTGCATGCTCCGCCTGCCTGGTTGACGAAAGCCTGGTGCTTCCCGTGTTCCTCCTGTTTTAACTTTTCTGTACTGAGAGGTTGAAACCTGCACGGACACTGAGAATGAGAGTGCATCTCATTGCCATCATCGAGCTTCAGCAGCTGATGAGACAAGGCCAGTTTAGTTCCATCTGTGCTCCCTCCCCCATCCCAATATTTTGAAGCAAATCTTAGACAGCATTTCATTTACTTCTTTTAAAAATGTTTTTATTGATTTCAGAGAGGAAGGAGAGGGACAGAGAGATAGAAACATCAGTAATGAGAGAGAATCATTGATTGGCCATCTCCTTCACACCCGTACTGGGGATTGAGCCCACAACCCAGCCATGTGCCCTGACCAGGAATTCAACCGTGACCTCCTGGTTTATAGGTTGATGCTCAACCACTGAGCCACACAGGTCGAGCTCATTTAATTCTTAAATACTGTAAAAGATAAGATTCTTTTCAAACATAACCTTAACACTGTATTCCCTCCTGTCCACCAGGAACGAGTGGTTCTCACGTTATCAAGTGCCCCGCCAGCGACCCCTTTCCCTCAATGTTGTGTGTTTGTGGTGTCCTGCATTTCTCTTGGCAAGGGTGGAGATGCTCCTGAGTTCCCTGCGGCCCTCCCGCCCCCTCAGGTTTCCTGCGGAGAATCCCTTCCCTTCCCTGTGTTACACTGAGATTTTACCTCCTGAGCTGAGGATAGGGTTTCCTTCCCGGAGTGCAGTTTGCAGAGCTAGGAGGACAGTGGCTCCAGCAAAGGCAGCGTGCTAAGATGTCACTCACCATAGGAAGTCTCTGTTTTAGATAAGGACTTCCGTGTGCATCTTTAAGTGTCTGAGAATTGTTGGTCTTGGTACTCCCTGCGGCTGGACCTGAACTGGGCTGAGCCAGCTGTGCTCCGAATGGGGAGCCTGTGCCCAGGGCTGCAGGCCATGGCAGTGCACGCAGTGCACTTGAGGCCCCGCTGAGTCTGCAGGGGTGTGGCACCGCTCTCCAAGGCAGGCTGGCTGGGGCTGTTCTCCCAGGAGAGGGTAGGTTTGCTTCCCATCAGCTTACCGCACCCTTCCTTTCTCTGGAGGTGGAGCCGTCCCTCAAGTTGTAAGATTCACAGGGATCTCTATTTTGACACCCTCAGTGGAAGGCAGTGTTCTAAGGTGAGAAGGATGTGGGCCTGCACTCAGGCGGCAGCCAGCTCCCTGCCCTGCTGGTCACCTGCTGTGGGCCCAGCAGGTGGCTAGCCTCACTGCCCCAGACCCCATGACACGGTCCCCAGAGGCCCTGTGAGGATGGCTGCAGATGCAGAGACCTCAGAATCTGTAAAGCATTCAACTCAGGCCCAGCAGGTAATGCTGAACATGTGGGCTCTTGTCTTGTGCAGTCCTACTGGCCTGAAATGTTAGGGTTCCTTCTTGTGGTGAGTTTGAGGTAGACAAAAATACGCTTTTTCCTGAACATTTGAAAGTGTCTTATAGACATGATATTTTTAGTCCTGATGCTTTATACTGTGCATCTCCTAACAACAGGACATTTTCTTATATAAGCACTAGTGGCCCAGTGCACAGATTTGTGCACATTGAAAGGAAATTAATTAGAAGAAACATTTTAATATCACTATTCTCTATAATAGAAGTGTCAACCAGATTCACGTTTGACAATGACAGATTGAAACGTACGCATGCGATTGGTGCCAGCGAGAGCTTTATATGTATCATGCAAGCACAAGTCAACTTAGCTTTTTATATATATAGAATGAACTTGCTTAATTAGACCTGCTTTCTGATGTAGCTAAACTTTTTCCCGCCCAGTGAAGCACCCCAACTTCTCTTTCAGGTAATTGTCAGCAACACAGCAGTAAATATCAACACGAAGCAGATTATTATTGTAGATCACACAGGGAGAACAAAGGGTAAAATATTTAACTGCAGCAGTGTTTGACTATATTCTGCGCAGTGAGAAAACCTGAAGTCATTTTCAAGGTCCACCATTTCTTACTTCTTTTCAGTTGGGTCAAGTTTCTAAATTTTCTAAGTCTCCATTTTCCTGCTAATGAAAAGAAAATGGGATTCCACCGAGTCTATCTACCTCCTCCAGGACTTCTGTGAGGATCAAATGAGATGAGGCACGGAAAACGCTTTACAGACATTTGGTTACAGTGTGAAATGTTTTCACCTGGCTACAAAGCAAGCTGTGTTCCTGGGCTGAAGAAACTGCAAGGAGGCTAGTCGCTGCCAAGGAGAGGAAGCGGGGCGGTTGCTATGTGATGTTATTACCTGGCGCCATGGTCACCATTTCTGGGCTGGGCTGGGCTGTGGGCCGCATTTTGCACCATGGGGTCTCAGCAGCGTTGGCTGCGATTTGGTGGGCTGTGGCTGTGCAGGGTGGTGGTGGGGCCTGTGTCTCACTTGGGGAAGCCGAGTGTTGCTTTGTGGGTGCCAGGTCCATGGTGCCATTTCTCTGTGCCCATCATGGCAGCTCCTGCATTGAACGTCTGCCCCCCTGGTGGTTAGTGTGCATCATAGCGACCCGTCGGACCCTTGGACACTTAGGATATTAGCCTTTTATATATATAGCTATCTCATTTTCACATTCAATAAATTTAATATTGACATAATGGTAATGTGTAATAGACAGTTCATATTTGAGTTTCCCCTAGTTTTTTTCTCTCTCTCTCTTTTTTTTTTTATTCCATTCTGCCCTTGAGCCTTATTTATTGCTGCCTCCTTTGTTCATATTTGTGTTTGTCCTGGCTGCTTACTTGCTCTTCCTGAGGCTCACGCCCTTCACTCTGCTCCCAGGCCCTCGTGCAGGCTGCGCCTCGCTTGGCAGCTGCCTCATTGCATCCTTTCCTGGTAAAATGCACATTCAGGCACATTCCAGGTGGTTCCTTCCTCCCCATAGAACATTCCTTGGTCTCCTGTGGTGTGCGTGTTCCCTCCCTAAACTACCAGCTCTTTGTACTCATGTATAAAGTGATTTTATTACAGCCTCTCCTGTATTAAATGTAGAATATATGGAATTTTCCCCATTTCCTTTCTAGAACCATGAGTGTTTTTCCCATTTTTAATTTTTAATTTATGAGCTTCTTGAATACAGGCCGTACTGCCCATTTTCCTTCCTCACTTAGTGTTTGACCTAAATCCAGAGTACTTTACATGGTGTTTTATTGTCAGTATAATTTATGTATTTGTATTACTTTCTAATTTGGAAAGATGCCCTGAAAATTCTAGTTTTCTGACATCATCTTAAAGAATGAAAAAAAAAACTAAGGGATATGGACTTGAATATGTATATGGGAATAGGACCTAAGTTTTTCTACTCTTTGGGATTGTACCTACAGAGTCAAAACTGTTAACCATGGGTTCATCTGGTCAAATATCTAGAAAGGATTGTATACACAGTTGCATTGGTAAAATGGCGATGCACTTGGGGTGGTGTGTAGCCTGCTGTGTCCCAGCAGGAAGTGCTGTGGGATGACACCGAGAGCTGTAAGATCTCTTCTTTTACATCTAGGTTCGAGATGCAGCAATAAACAGCTTAGTGGAAATTTACAGACATGTAGGAGAACGTGTGAGGGCGGACCTCAGTAAAAAAGGATTGCCGCAGTCCCGGTGAGTTCAGACTTTTTCCCTTCTTCTGCTCTTCCTCCTACTGTTTTTCAGTTAACATTTTGGTTTGCACTTCTTCTTTTGTTGTGATAAATTTTCAAAGAATGTATGGTTAGTGGATTGGTGATGGGAGAGAATGTCCTGATCGCATGGTATGTCAGGGGTCCCTTCCCATTCCAGTTCCTCAAAAGTAAGACTCTCACCCAGACATCTAGCCAAGTCCCAGGCCATCCCCTGATTTTAGAAGCATATTTAAAATGGATGGATTTTGAAAATTCACCGTTCTTTTGGTTCAGATGGTTCTATATATTATATACACACAGCACCTAGTTATAGTATGTGCTTAGAGTATCTTTGAGTGAGTGGAGCCTTTCTAAGAATGAGTTTGGTTTGGAAAACATCTTTGAAATGGTAGTTTTCTGTTCAGTAATGTCAGCCTCCCCGTGAAGAAGCTGGGGGTCAGCATCTTATCAGACCCAAGGCAACTTGAGTGCACAGATGTCTCTGTTGTGTCTGAATTTAAAAATTAATGGAGAGTTGGATGTGCATAATTTGAACTGTGATGCAGAAACCTTGCACCAAATGAATTCCAAACCCCTTGCCCCACCCATTCCTTTAAGGGAGAAAGTCGTGTGAAAACCCTGGGAGTTAGAGGTGAACTGCACTCACAGAGCAGCTGGTCAGAGCCTGTCCTTGTGGCCACGGCAACAGCAGAGGCCCAGAGACATGCAGTGAGCTCACACAGCCGAGTCAGAGCTGGGCCTGAAGCTCTGTTCTCTGCCTCGCCTTTTCGTTTCTTCATCCTGTTTGACAAGAGTTCACAGAGCACCTAGACATGGGATGGAATGTTCAAGTATACAGGGGTCTTGATGTCCCTTAATTGGATATGACAGTGGGCCCCTCACCCTAAGGACAGGGTTCCACGAGCAGCTGAGTGGGGCTATATTCTTTCTTGCTGAGTCATGTCGGACCCGGTATCACTCTCACTGTGGGCCCTGAGCTGTGCACAAGGCAATGAGATGGGCCTTTAACTACTCTTTGTGTGCTTACAAAGGTAATCTCTGAGAATAGAGTTTTTATGCCCATGTTTTACTAACCTCAGCCTTCTGGATTTTGAATGAATGGTGAGAGACAAAACTTAAAGACGAAACTACTGAACAATCTCTTGGGCAAAATTGGAGGGAGGACACAGATGAACGGCAGAGCAGGGGCTGGAGGCAGAGGGCTGTTTGATGATGTCACGATCATTGTTGGGAAAATAGGCCTTAGGCAGCGAGACTCTCCTGCTCCAGGATGGCTCACCATGCTCTGCAGCTCACGGGGCCGGGGCCCTGAACGGACTGGCAGCGTACACGATGGGGTTCCTGGGTAACGCTCGAAGGTTGCTTCGGTGAGACCTAGAGGTGGGTGCAGGAAGGAGCCGGCCCCGCAGGCCGGACGGCTGTCTGGAGACGCCTGCTTGCAGGGTTGGCCCTGGGCAGTGTCTGGAAACTTGGATGTGGGGAAGATTCCCAGTATTCCCAAAAAGTGGCTCCCTGTGCCCCACGGTGCAGGCCTTACGCTGTGCCCCTACTTTCCTTCAGGGAGTCTGACATTTTGGGAAGTACTGGGCAGAGGGTTTCTGTGTGACCAGCCCCAATAAAATCTCCAGGCACTGAGACTCTAATGAGCAGACCGCCTTTCCCAGGTGGTCCCCACCCGTTGCTGGGAGATTAACCACATCCTGTGTGACTTCACCAGTGGAGGCTCTAGGAAGCTTGTGCCTGGCGCACCTGGTCCTCACCCCGCGCACCTTTTCCAGTTGCTGGTTTTTCTTTGTGTTCTTTTACTACGATTGTCCTGCTGTGAGTATGACTATATGGTGAGTTCTGTTAGCAAATTGTTAAATGTGGGAGTGGCCTAGAAACCCCTCAGCATAGAGGGTGTTTTAGGTAAGGTCCCAGGGGCAGTGGATGCCAGAGCCCCAGGTATGCGTGTTGTGTGCTTTCTGCTAATCTTTTTTTTTTAATTTGAGAGAGAGAGAGAGAGAGAGAGAGAGAGAGAGAGAGAGATCAGTTGCCTCTCGTACACGCCCGGACTGGGGATCAAACCTGTAACCTGGGTATGTGCCCTGACGGGGAATCAAACCCACCACCTTCTGGTGTATGGGGCAACACTCCAACCAACTGAGCCACACCAGCCAGGGCCACATACTTTTTAAAAATATATAAAAAGCTACAGAAGAGCTGGGCCTCTGTGAATAGGAATGGGGGTTTCTGCTATCTCATGTTATCTAAAAATTTCCCCCCAAATTCTGAACCAAATGGAGAAGGTAGTCCTGTTAAAATGGACACACATGGTCACAGCCATTCTTGTGAATGCATAGGGCTTGGAGAGTGAGGCTGGCAGTTCTTTAAAAACATGCTCTAGTGAAAGAAGCTGAAACCAGGTTTCTTTGGATTTATTGCAAGACTGTTACCTAAGGTCTAGCACTGAGTGTCAGAGGCTCTGGCTGCCACTTTTATTTTGTTGGGGATGTGTCCAAATGGAACGAGACTTGTAAAGAATTCTGCTGTTGTTTGGGAAACTCAGTGTCTGCTCTGTGTGGCTCCAATGGTTGACTTGAATACTTGACTATTCTAGACCTCTGTTACATCATTATAGATTTTTTTGTTATTATGTGAGCATAGCAGATTTTTCAGCTTAGCGGGATTCCATAGGACTAATGAAATCTTGTAGAATTTGCTTAATGCTTTCTAAAACTTGAGTTTTGTCCTGGAATGAAAATGTTGACCTCCTATGAGTTTGCTCATTGAGAACTACATTTGAGAAGAAGGTTAACTATAACTCTAAAAAAATGCATGATGTAAAAGAATGCCTTCATCATACCAGCTAAATAACTTTAATAAGAGCAGACTCATCTGAGCAGCAGTTCTCTTTGTTCATTTCACAGTTGGGAAGTGCCCGTCACATAGGAGGAGCTGGAATTAGGGGTTTGGGTCACGTGTTAAAAGCTGTTTTAGCCTTGTTGTCTGGTGGCTAAAATCATATTTGAGCCAAAAAGTAAAGCAGAGATTTTCAACCAAGTCTTCATGTTAGCAGGTCTCTCCCCCCACACAGGATCTCAGCATTGTTGAGCTGTGATCTTTAGTTAGGATAGTCTTCGGCCATTTTACATTGTTTAACACATTATTTTCACAGTTCATGCACGTGATATGTGCAGAAAGTAAGTGCACAGTTTGTAGCTATCCAGTGTAGCATGCCATATAGTTGTGTGATGTTTGTGTGGCATGCTGGGCACCCGCTGTCACTCCTGTGGCTTACTTTCATAGACACGTGCTTTCAGCACACTATGGCATTCCCTGTCCTCCTGTTGGATATGCCAGGCGATATTTGTATCAGTGTGGTATATCTAGTTTGGAAGCTATGGGTAAAAGACTGGTGTTTTTCTCTGGTACCATCATTTGGGAACCAATTGCCTGGAACAGCAGCTGCTTTAAACCTGGAGAAACTTTAATTTATAGAGGGAGCCGATGCATGCCATCTGATGCATGCCATCTGATGCATTGTGGCCATGTGGTAAACTTACTGTGACCCTGCAGTTTTGAATAGTTCTCATAAGGTTTGTTTTGCCATTTCAATCTATTTAAAAATTTATGGACATTCACTAGACATTATTACTTACTGATTGTATAGTTAAGGGAAAAATGGAAACTTTCTCGTTGTAAATTTGCTTGCTAAAGCTTAGTGCTGTAGAGAGGGCCCACGGCAAGAGCAGGATGAAAGATGTGCTCGGCAATGTCTGCTCTCATTTCTAAGGTTGTTACTGCCAGTGATGTATGCAGAGAGAGCTGACAAGGTGTATAAGAGATGGAAGAAAGGCAGGTCCTTACCTCTCTGCCATTTTTCTGCAGAGGCAAACACCGTCACCTGGCTTATGGCTGCTTTTATACCTATTGCTCTGTCTCCAAATACTGTGCATGTATTGCTAAACCTTAGTTTTTTTGTCACAAGAACTTTACTTTGCATCATGGAGGGTAAATTTCAGCTCTTTCTTTCTAATCTCCCTCATGTATAGCTGCCATCTCCACACCCACCAAATATAGTCATGTTTTAATTTTGATTAGAACATTTAGTTTATATTATAGTTAAGTATGCCATGCACTGTCTATATTTGGTGAATTATAATTACTTTACCTCCCCCCCCCATCCTTTTGTTTGTCCTGGGTTATTAATCATATTTCATGTGCATAGTGTCCACATCTTACCCTGAGGACTGTCTGTGTACTGCCAGTTGTGGACGTGACCTTGAGCCTGTCCGGTCTGACGGGCTGCCTCTCTGCCTTCACAGCCTCAATTTTACGTATCCTCCTGGCAGCTCTACCAGCATGTTGGGGCTTCACTTCTCCTTTCTCTGCAGAGGCATCTGGTGTTTTTTTTTTTTTTTGGGTGGGGGGGAACACCATGTCTTTTTTGGTTTTCTCTCTTATTTTAGTTATGCATATCCTCCATTAGCTTTCTCAGAAAAGATGTGGAGGAAACTTTCTTTGAGTCTGAGAAGATCTTTATTCTATTTTGATATTGGTAGTTTGTCAGGGTTTAGAAATCTAGGTTGAAAGTCATTTTCATCCAGAATGTTAAAACTAATGTCCATGTATTCCAGCTTTTAGTGTTTCTTTCTACTGAGAAGTCCAAAGTCATTCTGATTCTGCAGTCTATCAAAGTAGGTAACTTTGATTTTCTGTCTCTAGAGTTTGTCTGAAAGTTCATGGTGAGGAGTCTTATAGAGACTATTTTCATTGCTTGGAGGGCCTTTCAACTTGGAACCTTGTGTTTGGATCTGGGCTAGTTTCTTTACCAGTATCTCTATATCTATCTATACTTATCTACCTACCTAAAAATAATTTACTATTTTTTAAAATATATTTTTTATTGATTTCATAGAGAGAGGAAAGGAGAGATAGAATCATCAATTATGAGAAAGAGTCATTGAACAGCTGCCTCCTGCACCCCTTATGACCCTA